TTCTTTTTTTTAATCTTCTTATTCTTCAAGCCCTCAAGGTTTCTTCTGACCCTCATTTCTTTTGTTGGCTCAAGCTCTCCATTCTTGCTATCCTCTTTTTCCAGAACTTCTACCTGGACATTGCAACTTCTGTATCTGTCATTACAGTGTGAAGCTCCTCCCATGCTTTTTTTGACTTTGTAATTTTGAGGTAATTTCTTACCTTGGCCCACGCTGTGATTTTTAGCTTTGTCTAATTTATTTTTTAATTTTTAATTTTAAAGAGAATAAAAAAAAACCAAATAACAACAACATAGACAAAAAGAAAACAAAGAAAGAAAAAGATACAGGGTTTCAAAACAAAATGAGAGGAATTAATAGTGGTTGTTATATTACATATTGTTATCCTCAGTGAAGTTGCTCAGATTACCAGATGTAAGAATGCAAGATTGGTCAAACAATTAAAGAGAATAAAAAATAATAAAAAAAATTAGAAATGATACAGAACTTCACCAAACAAGATGATAGAAATTCAACAATGGTTGTTATATTGCATATTGTTGTCTTCAAATTAGTTGTTCACATTACCAGATAGAAGCGTGCAAAACTGGTCAAAAAAATTAAACATTAACCGTTCCTTTCAATAAGCCATCAGACATCAGCAGTACAGTTATCCCAACTGTGTTTGTCTCTCTCTCTCTCTCTCTAATACATAAATATCTATCTATCTATCTATCTATCTATCTATCTATCTATCTATCTTTTTCTTTCTCTCCTTTTCCTCATCCCAGTTGTTCCTTCTTTGGAGCAATTTCTTTCTCTTTCATAATATCTATTGTACGTTTTGGATTTTATTTACTCTTTCAGGTTATTACACTAGGGAGACAATACAGTGTTCACATATGTGGGTCTGATTTATTTCACTTATGAATGTGGTCTCTAGTTGCATCCATTTACATGTGAACGCCTCGAGTTTATCTTTTTTATAGCTGAGTAATTAATACTCCATTGTATAAAAATACCACATCTTTTTTTATCCATTCCTCAGCTGATGGACATTTGGGTTCTTTGCAAGATTTAGCTATGAAAAATTGTGCTGCTGTAAACTTGGGTGCACATTTCTACTCAGCCCATCTAGTTTTCTTTTAAAGGTCAAACTTTCAGTATCCTCTTCTATTTTGGAGTCTTCTATCTTCTCCACCAATTTAGTGAGGCTAAATCTTTTATTTCCTGCTTTTCCTTTCTGTTGCTGTAGTTCTTTGGATTTTTCAGTTCAGGTGTTATGATTTTTATTTCCAGAATTTTCCTTATGTTATTTGTGAGGGTCTCCACCATCTCTTCAACCATGAGGTCCTGTGTTTCCTTCAAGAACTCACATTCTTTCCTGTCATCTGCTGAGTGTTTGCACTCAGATTCCAGTACCAGGGCCATCGACCTCTCAGTCTTTGTGAATGCCTTTCTTTCCTTTCTGGGGACTTTTTCCTGTCCTTCTGCCAGCTATCTCACCAGCTTGGATTGGACCCTGCACATTGTGGCTATTTTGCTAAAACTGCTTTTCTCTTCTGGAATAGTAAATTTGTTCTTGCACACAGGGTAGACTTAAGAAATTCAAAATTTTAAACATGTCATCTGTCTGCTGTACCCAGTGCTGGGACTGCTGTGCTTCAAACCCTGAGGTTAAATGAAGGAGAGAGGCACCCTGCATTTTCTATCATTCCATGCCTGTTTTTTCCTTCTTTTTTGTTAAGCCAGTTTTGTCAATAACTAATTTATACACAATAACATACAGATTTTAGTGTATGCAGTTCTAAGTTTTGGCAACTTTACATCCCTTCTCCCCCAAGATTTCCATTGTGTGAGATAATTTTTTTTTTTCCACTCATGAACCACCAACCTTGTTCTATTAGTTAATACCATAAGAAGAGCATTATCAATGGGATAATTAGCATTAAACAAATGATAATGTAATTCTTTTTTTTTTTTTTTTGGTTTTTCTCCGGTTCCAGGAACTGAACTCACGACCTTGCGCTTGCCAGGCAGGCGCTTTGCCGCTGAGCTAAATCCCCAGCCCTGATAATGTAATTCTTAAACAATCCCCAAAACTTATTTCAGGCACTTTTGGCACATTTAGTATTTCAAGAGTCAGTTATAGTTTCCCATCTGATTTTTAGCATTTTTTGACATAGTTCTTAATAAAGTACTTTTACATATATTAGACTATTTTTACATTTTCCAGGTTTGTCTATTGCTCTTTGTAGTTCCTTCTTTGCTCTCACTATAACATATTTTTGGTCTTTTCTCTTATCTCCGTCTCTTCCATTTGTATGTTTTGTTTTTAAGGAGTTTCTGAAGACCCTTTGTCTCCCCTTTTTTGACTGAAGAAGAAAGCTTATAAAGGCAGAAAACTGAAATATTTCCAGGGCTTCATTAATATGCTTTTATACAAATGTTACTTTATTTAACCTAGCTATAAGGTTTTAAATTACTTTTTGTACCTCTTCATTTTAGTATTACCTGAGTTGTCACAGATTCATTGTTGAATATATCTTACTAAAAGAATTTTGTGTTTGTCAATATGTCTCTATTTCTTAGAATAGTGTTTGGTACATGGTTCACTGTTGTTGTCTAAGCAATGTCCTATGGTTGGCACAAAATTAACATGCTCAAATTTTAGCTAATCTGTAACTTTCTTTTGTTTCTAAAGTCCAAATCATTGCTCTTTCTATTTGCAAGCTTTCCTTACTTCCCAGTCAAAAATCTGTTTCTCTAGTCTTTTTCCTTTAGTAAATTATACTAAAGGCATTTTAAAAAATCACCAAATAATTATAAATTATGATAATTACTATGAAGTACAGGACTTCATTTGACAATAAACCTAATTAGATAAATTGCTGCAGCAAAGAATTTTGTAGATAGTGCTGGGGACTGAATCAGGGGCCTTGAATATGCTATGTATGAAAGTCTTTTCCACTGAGCTACATCTCCAGCCCATGGAAGAATTTTTTGAGAAAGTATATGCAACAAAAGCATCACTTACGATGTTAGGATTTACCCAGACAAAAAATACACCAGAGAATATTTTCAGACCTTAAGAAACAGAAAAATTATTCTTTTGAGGAACAAAAAGGAAGGCTTATTTTGCCTGAGGATGCAATCTTATTTCATTTACATACATGAAAACTGAGACTCAAAGTTAGTGAATATAGTGAGGTCATCAAATTAGTCAGAGCAAACTTTTTAGTGCTTTCAGTGGTGACAAACAACCCACTGTGATATGCATGCCATAGGTTCGGCCACTACTGGCCTAGTTTCAAGGTTTGTGTTTTCTAAATCCTTAATGTTTTCCCATTATATTTTGACATTCCCTAATGAAAGTGTGAGCCAAAGCCTTTCCAAGCTCTGGTAATTTTATTTCTTTTTCAGCATCATTGTATTAGTCATTACAAAATACCTGGCCTCTGCAACTTAAAGGAGGAGAAAGTTATTTTTGCTTATGGTTACAGAGGATTCAGTCCATGATCAGCTAGCTCCAAGGCAGAAGTGGCATACAGAAAGGCCTAGTGGATGAAAGCTGGTCCTGTGGCATCCAGGAAGCAGAGAGAAAGCAAGAACCAGAAAGCAGAGAGAAAGCAAGAACCAGAGTAAGAGAGATAACCTACCCTACAGAGCCGTTCCTTCAGTGGCCTATCTCCTCTAATTAGGCCTAACCTCCAAACAGCACATTAAGCTATTAGCAAAGGAGACACTTGCATGTAGAACCATTTACTGTCAACAGGAACAGAATGATTTACCTGGCATAAAGCCTAGATGCTTCCAGTGAATCTGTGGCTTTGAAAGCCAATTAGTATTTGCTTAATGCAAAGGTTTTATGAACCATCAGTATTGGTATCTTCTGTCCTCATTAATTTGTTGATTTATTTGATTTGATTGGTCAGTAGAACATTATAGATTTCAAAATTTATAACAAGCATCTTACATTCTGTTTTATTTCTGTTGACTTATACACCACTATAAACTTGATCCACCTCTGCCAAATAGTTAATGTTTCACAAAATAAACAAACTCTTTTTGGCAGTTGATTTTCAGACAGCTGATAAAACACTGACGTATTAAGTTTTTTTTTTTTTTTTTTACTTGTTTTCACATTTATGTGGATGGGAAAGGGGAGGGAAGTAGAAATTGGTATGGTACAAAGGCAGGGTTGGGAAAGGTTGTGCATGCGTGCATGTGAATGTGTGTGTGTGTGTATTTCCAGAGACATTCAACAGTGAGTTGTCCACAGTCCCAGGATGTGACAGCCTGCCTCTTAGTAGCCTTCAAAAACATCCGTGGCATGTCATACTTGTTCTGTATTCTTACTAGTTAGTGACTTGTTGGCTTAGAGACCAGTTTCAAGAATGTTCATAAAAGGGAACTTCTCCTGTATTACTGCTTCTTTTTGTCACCTGATACACTTGTGGTATTAGATTTATCGAATAACTTTTGCTGCTCCATTCTTTGGTTCTCAGTATTTTTTTCCCCATTAAGATTACTGATTGGAACAGGAAAGAATGGATTTCATTCTTAAGCTTATTTTTGTATTCTCATGTGTCACTTTTATATCTCATTTTTCTCAATCTGATGAAGGAAATCATGTTAAAAAGATTAGTTGAAGGTACTGATTTTACTTGTTCCGGCCTCCTTAAACAATGTTTTGTGAGTGTTTTGCGAGTGTTTTGCTTAAATGAGGATTGTAGAGTTTAACTTTTTGTGACTCAAGGTTTGGTGGTAGTATATGCCAAATGCATGTTTTAAAATTTTCAAAGATAATGTTTTATTATCAAGAAATAGAGAACCATTTAATAGAGTGTATTTTACATCATTAAGTAAACAGTATTTTGTATTCATTATTTTGTTTAAATAAATATTTAGTGTAACATTTATATAAATATTTTGAATTATACTTATTTCCCTTTGTAGTATTACCCATCTTCCTTGGACAGCAGCTGTTTCTTTAAATGATCCTTGTTTTTTGTTTGCAGGCAGCTATCAATGGTGTAATACCCCAGGAAAATGGCATTCTACAAAGGTATGTTATTAACAGCTTCATAGTAAGATGACAATTTGGCAGAGAGGGGAAAAGAGAAAGTTATTAGTTATTTTTATTTTTGGTGGAGTATTTGATTTTTGTTGTATAAGTTCATTAATATAGTCATTGTCTTGATATTGTTAATTATATTACTTCTCTAAAGTCTCCACTTTTAACTACACAGTATTTTTCCAAATTGTGTAATATTGTCTTTCAAGGTGATTTATTTTATTTTTAAGAAAGCTTTACAAGGTCATCTTCTAATTCATAGGACGGAGGGAACCGAATCCTTTTTATGCCATTGATTGGGACTAAGGAAATGAGACATGCTCAGTAGCCACAGAGTATGACTGTCATGTATTCAGGCTTTATCTCCAAACTTAACTGTAATCTTTTTACCCCCTCCATTGTGGTTTCTAAATCATATGATGATGTGCAATAGTTAAATAAATCCTTAATTATGTTTGTTTGTTTGTTTTTTGGTCTTTTTGAGACAGAGTCTTGCTATGCAATTCAGGCCAGCCTTAAGCTCACTTTGTAGCCCAGGCTAGTCTCGAACTTGCAAAGATCCTTCTGCCTCAGCTTCCCAAGTGCAGGGGATTACAGGCGTGCGCCCCCATGCCTGGCTAAATCCTTAATTATGAAACGTCCCTGAACACTGAACTATTTTTCCTGAAATGTCCAGTGTTAACATGTGGACTGATTTTAGTTGGTTTGTGTCTTTGCCAGAAAGTCAAATTTGGAAGATGAGGCCAAGAAAACTGTAACAGTTAAAACATATTTAAGTTAAAAATACATCAATAACTTTTTTGAAAATTGTAGATTCTGATTCTGGATTAAAAGAACACACTATAAAGTCATAGGAGGTGAAAGCATTTTCCTTTCCAAGTTGTAGTTTACTTACTTGACACCCTCCCACCCCCAATTCAAACTTTGGCTTGAGTTTTGGTGGCTGGGATTTCTAAGTTACTGAAGCATGATCTGGTACGTGCAGATGAGGCAAGCAGAAACAGCAGACTAGGAATAAACATTGTTTTGGAGAGGAAGAAAAGTGCCGTTGTAACAACATTTAAAAATTCATGCTAGACTATGAAGTATACTATACTTTATAGGAAAATCCTTGCATATTTAGGATGGAAACAAAATTATGTTTGTTACCTGACCACTCTTAATAATGAATTGTTTTTAAGGTGAAGCATATATACTCCACTGTCTCTTTAAAAATTTTTCTAAAGAGTTTCATTCAGAGTAAATGTAGCTGATTTCCAAGTCTGCAACTAGCTTTTTTTGTTCAAAAGCACCCAGTTACATTGAAGCCCTTATCTAGAAAGCAAACCAGATGATTACAGGTACTTTTTCATGATCATTTTAAAATGTCTTAGTTTAGAAAGTTTCAGAGTGCTAAATGTGTGTGCAGTTTCATTCTTGAATGTTATTATTACTCCTTTTGTGCCAAGATTTTTGCTGTGCTAAACTCTTGTGGATTTGGCTGCTAGGTCATGAATACCCACTGGATACATCTTACAAGGATAGCATTTGCTTTGAGTGAACTGTAGAAATTCCCTTTCCTCTTGAAACATTCCATCTCTTCCATTACAGATAAAGCTTTTTGCTTAATAAATTGTATGATTGAAAACTCAGTAATAATTGTTTTCTGATACTGTAGTTACTGTGATGTTTTGGATTTAAATTTGACTGGAGTGGGTTGGCATTGGTTTTATTTGCTTCTTTTAAATTAAAGGAATGAGTCATGCCTGTGTAGCAAAATCAGTTATATATCTAGTTAAGTTTCTTCAACTGTTTCCTTCCTGTATTCATTAGTTTCCAAATCACTGTGAATTTGACATAATTGAAAGTTGTTCTTTTGTGTCTATGGGCTAGAGAAAAATAAAAGAGGGATCCTTATAATCATTCATAGGTTTAACACTGAAAGCAGAAGATACAATACTAGGAATGCCATATACAGACACTTACAAAGATCATTGTTTTGTATGTCTAGTTTTTATAATGTTGACTATAGTCTGCATATATAACTGAGTCTTAATTTGTTAGTCCATACATTAACAGAGAAGAGAGATAACCAGCTGGGCTAGGTGGTGCAGGCCTGTAATCCCAGCACTCGGGAGGGTGAGGCAGGAGGATCATTACGAGTTCAAGGCCAGCCTGGGCTGCATAGTGAGCTCAAGGCCATCCTGAACGACATAATGAGACCCTGTCTCAAAAAGACGAAAAAAAAAAAAAAAAAGAGATACCAAATATTATAAAGAAAACACTGTATTATGTAATAGTCTCATAGGATAGTGAACTTTTTGATAGGCAATAATTAAATAACCACAGCATTGATGTGTTAATACTTGTTTTGGCTAGAGATAATAAAAAATTATACAAATTATATGCAGTCTAAAGAATGTCAGTTATTAACATAAATTTCTGTGGAAGGGGAGAAAGAAATACTTCTGTGCTTTATAGTTTTTCTTGAAATCTGATTTTTATGTGAATCCAAAAGTAGGACTGTGATTTTTGATGAACCCATGAAGTCCAAGGAAAGAAACTAACATGTTTTTTTAATGCCTAAGGTACTATGCCAAGCAACTGACATTTTCCCACATTTAATACTAAGTACAACCCTTAAAACGTAAATGTGTATATTTCACAGATGAGAGAACTCAGAATTTATAGAGACTTGCCCACTACTGCAAGAATAATAGAAAGTTGTGAAATCTGGATTTTCTCCTTGGGAAAGCCATGCATCAGTAAGCATGACATGTCTTTGGGTAAAAAGGTTAAATCAAGCTCTGTCCCCCACAATTTTGTTTTTAGTTGTAAGCTGGTAAAGGTAGACATTATTATCCCTAATTGTACAGGTAGAAATAATAAATGACTCAGATGATACAACAAGATGATGATGTGTTCAGGAATATAGGCATGTCTTTTGGCTTTTCTTGCAAGGCTTTTTCATTTGACAGTATACTACTAATTCAATATATGTGTAGTTTATGGAGTCATAAATGCAAACCATTCATTCAGTCTTAAATAAACATCAGGTATGTGCATGTATTGTACTGCCTCATATGAAACTATTTTTGGGGACAGTTATTTTTTAGAAAGGAAGTGCTATTTTTAAAAAAATAAACTTCATGAATTAATAATATAATTTGAGCTACCCACTGAATGGTAATGGTCAACTCATTTAAAGCCCATAAACATGAACAGTATGTTCCTAATCCATTGTGTAATAATTAAGAACATCAAGAAAAGATGAAATTGACCTTAATTATTGTACTTTCTATATATAAATGTTCAGGTTTTCTGGTTTAGCAAAAATGCCCATTTAAAAGTCTGAATTGATCATAAATTTACTTCTAAAATAAATGTGAATTTTTTGCAGCAGGTACCCAAAGATTTTTCATGAATGGACTTTTAAAAATTGAAATAAACAAGTGCAGAGTTCCTGTTTACTTTGCTTTTTGTTCATTGCCTTCCAAGGGCCTGAGTGGTTTGCAGAAGAAAGTTGAGTAAGGATAAAAATACTTTCATTAGTTGAAGTTTAGGTCTAAATAGATTTCTTCATGGAGGCTTCCACAGCATTGTTTCCTATTTAATGAATAATTTCTTTTTTCCCCCCAGTGGGTAGTTTATACAGGAACATTCACCTAAGAAACAAATATATTCATATTCTGCATCCATTTTAAAAGATTCATTTTAGTATCTCTTTCCTAGACTTTCTTTCATCTAGTTTTCTGACTTTAAGTTCTCATTTGCTGTTCAAGCCATTAACTTTTGCTCACAATTTAATGGAAGATTTACACCTCAGTCTATCTCTCTTTCTAAATAAAATGGTCACCCTGTGGTACAGTGTTACCTTCTGTGTACCAACAGGCTTTTGTTTCACTACCATTTTTCAGGCAGATCTTTGATTGAGGCCATAATGCTTTAGTCTGATTTTAATTGGTGCCAATGTATTTTACATATCTAACTTTGCTCTTGCCAGTATAAATTTTTTCTTCCTTTTTTGACTTAGCTGTCTCTTTGTTATTGATGGGAAATGTGAGGCAACAGAATTTTTGCCCTGGCTTGTTTTTGATCACTGACCCCCCCCCCCAAACTTTGTCAAGGTCTGGAAGTACCTGCATTTTTGTGATATGTATATATACTAATCTCTAGCATGCATTTGTCATGATAAAGCATCCAAGTATTTATTACTTCTGTTCTTTAGTTTCATTCATCGTTATAATCAATGTCATGTTATTCTGTGAAACATTTGGGTGACTAGGATCTCTCCAGACAACTTTTTGTGACAATAAGCAGGAGAACTGGCATAATCTCTAGGAAAAGCCAGTGAAATTATACTGTATACTTTGGTGAAAGAAAAGGCTTGTCATAGTACTTGCAAATTAGTACAGAGAATAAAAAATTGTGCAAGATCATTTGCAAGTAACCTTAACTCCGTGGGCTGGGAAACCAGTACAGTGTGTAGGATCTCTGCCAGTCACTGAGTATCTTTTTGTATTTTATATTCAGGGCTTGAGGGAGAAATGGCAGGGTAGGTTGACTGTTAGAACCTGCAGTGAGTCCAAGGGCCAAAGCTTCATTTTATGCTATAATCTTACACTTTTGTTAAATCCAAAAGGATTAGCATAATTTCAGATTTAGAGTGTAGGAATCCTCTAAAAACTGAATATTTCCCTTTTATCATTATACAGGTAGTAACAGGTAGAGGTCTCTTAAGGGATTTCTTAGAAAAATTGCAATACATATGTATGACTTTGTTGTATATTGTCCTTTGTGGTGGACCAGATTGCCCATTTAATCCAAGGCTTTTATATCATGAACAAACATGTGTTGGGAAACACTGGGAGTGAATGTGACTCTCCATTGTGGTTACTGAAGTTACAATTTAGGCTGCCAGGTCTAAGTTCTGCTGTTATAGATCAAGTAATATTTCAATGGACTGGCCTTTAATTTTGTTCCTTAGAAGTACCATATTCAGTTAAGTACTGAAGATCTCTGCCAGTCATAATCTTCCGATTGCTGCTTTTGTCCATTAATGTAATTGCTCAAATCCTTTTCTTACTATGTTTGCCATTTGACCTCTGCAATTTTGAGATCTCATCATGCTTACTAAGAAGTCTCAGTGATGTCATTTCCCAGAAACAGCTATTAAGAGTTTTTCAAGAATGTAGATTCTTTTACATAATGTATTTTTTAATGCTTTAATATAGTATCCTCCATGACCTCATAAGAGGATGCATGCATACTCAGGTTATACACAGCAAATCCATCCCAGCATTCATGTTTCTTTAAACATTTGGATTTCTTCTACATTATGTTAAATAAGTTCAGATATCTCATCCTTAATAAGTGTAGACTCTTTTGACACTTAAGTTTTATTTAGCCAGCTATTAAAGGTACTTAGAGCTGCTTAAGCTAACATTATATTTTGTCCTATCAAAGTTCTTTTGGTCCAACACATTTGAAGTTTATTTATGTAAGAATTTTCCTGGATAGTTTATCAAAATGTTGTAATTATTTTTAGATATAAATAATCTCTTCTTGGTTAAGGCCCTATACTTTTTCTTTTAGTGTATGACTAGATCTGACTTTAGAGGGAATAGGAATGGAGTGGGTAGGTCTGAGTATAAGCATGCCCTTTCAAGGCAGCTGTCCTAAGTAAGAGTATTAGAATTTTCAAACAAGCAGAGGCTAGCCTTTTCAGTCACAGGAGGAATTGTTTCTGTTTATAAAAGGCTTATAGAGATTTGGGGTTCAGAATTCCAACTTTTATCTGAGTCCCTCTGGGCATTTTACCTCTTAGGTTTTCACTCTTTCCAAAATAGTACCTTAACTTTCACAAAAGAGATACACTGTTGTTTATTCAACTTTCTCTACAGTTCTGCAGTCTGCAATATTACCCTCATTTTGGTGGTCATATATGTTGTTAGAAGAAATAAGAAACTCTCTTTACAAGGCTATATTGAAAACTTTGCAGCTGTGGTATCATGACTTTGTATGTCATTTTCTGTAAGATCCCCATTCGAGTCAGAAGAAATCAGCCGTAGTCCTTGTTGTCATTTTTACCATTGTAATAATTAAGCCAATCCATCATTTTGTTATCTCAGGCCATTGTTTCAATAGGTATATCATCATAATTAACCACACATGATAATTTAGCTAATAATTATGTTAAGGCATGACATAGTTCACCAGTATACTGTTTTTTGCTGGAAGGAGCTAGCTAGCAATGAATTGAAAGTTAAGGACATAATCAGGACAGTTTCTGAGTGTCATCTTTGGAAATATGTTTCTTGGAACCTTTTCAGTAGGTCACTATCCAGTCAGGATCTAGGTATTTCAGTAGAGGAAATTTAATGTAGGGTGGGTTATATAATCAAAAAAGCTAAAAGTGAGGAAACATAACTGTAACAATTGCTGCAAGAAGTCACCAGTCTTAAGTTTAGGAAGTAGTGGAATTAACAGAGCTATGAACTCAGAGGGAATCCATGAAGCTGGGGTGAATTCACATTGTCCAGCTGTGATTGGTATCGGAGGGAATATGAAGAAGCTGGCTATACGAACACCAAAAGACAGAAGAATAAGAAGAAGATGAAAAAGGCAGCGAGAGGGCTGGAAACTATAGGTGATGCTGATGGAAATGCATGCGAGTAGGAAGAAGGAAATTGTGCTTACCCTCCTGTTAATCTATGTGTTATATCCCCCTTATCAGCAAAACTTAATGAGAAATCATCTAATAAAGGAAAATAAAGTTTTGTAGATTGTCAGCCTCAGCACCACAGAATAGACTATATAGAAGTATGTCTTTGGAGTAAAGCAACAATAAAACAGTGATCTCTTTACTAACTTAGACCATTTTTCTTAGGTTTTAAGTTGTGGCAAACTTTAGAGACTTTCACCAGCTTACCTTTATGAACAGTACTTGACTTGGGCATGTATTGGTTATTACTGTTCCTATGTAGGTGTCTAATACATTGTTTTTCCTTAAATTCAGGGGGAGTAGATTTTTTAGAGCTGGTCTTGAGTCCTGGTAGTGATGGAAGATACATGCTAAATGATGTTGCAACTGAATTATTCCTTATGTTCTCTCTTACTTCCTTTCCCTTTCTGGGGGGGGGAAGGTTATAATACATATTACAGTTAAGATGTGGAAAAGCCAGTGTTTTAAATAATTTTTTCTACTATCAGTTTGTTAAATATTGGAGTTTCTTCTATATGTAAAGTCTGGAACTCACAACAGAGGATACAGCCATTAAGAACACAACTGTAAGATTTATTCTTGTGGCATTTACATTCTTGTGGGAACATAGATGTCAAATGACGATACATGTAATTTTATAATTATAGAAAGTGGTGGGGGATTAAGTCTAGTCTCTAGACTTAGTTGAAAAATAACCTGAAATATGCAGGGTGAGTATAATTAGTTACAAGGAAGATGGATGTGAGGATGAGTTGGAGGAGGGAAAGGATATTCCTTCAAGGAATATTCCCCAACTATGTATCCCATGAAATGGAAAGAGTCAATATGAGAGATGAAATGGAGGCTGTTGTGTCTGTTAGCATAGGCAGAGATATAGCTACCATGGTATAAGACCAGGATGGGTGGCTAGATTGAATTCTGATCATACAGGGCCTCATGGGCCATTTTATCAAAAGAGCAGAGGGAGGTAATTGAGAGATGGAGGGAGAAAATGAAATGAAGACATTTAAATCTTTAATTTTGCTGTTGAAAGGGCATGGGTGGAATGCAAGGAAGCAAGAGATGTATTAAGAGATTAATTGAGATTATAGTGCAAACTGTTTTGCATTAGTTTGTATAAGAGATGGTTTTTAGGGATGTTAGAGTGGCAGTTGCAGGGGACAGAGATAGATGATATATTCAAAAGATATTTAGTAGTTAATATTGAAAGGATTCATTAGATGTAGGGATAGAGAAAGGAGTAGTCAAGGGAATACCACAGATTGCTGACTTGGGTTCCTGACCCTAGGAATAATGGGGTAGGATCAGGATGAGGAAACATTAATGAGTTAAGCTTTGGACATAATGAGTTTGAGATCTTAGTACCAGGCATTGTGCAAATACAATTATTTTTCCCATTTTACAAATGAGACAGCTGTTAGGTGGGCCGAGCCAAAATTTTGTCTTTATGTTTTAAGAAGGCAAAGATTGGAACATAATTAAATGTTATTCAAGGGCTGGGGGTATAGCTCAGTGGCATGGCGCCTGCTTGGCAAGTGTGAGGTCCTGAGTTTGATTCCTGGTACCATTAAAAAAAAAGTTATTTAAAAAATTCCAGAAGAGTTGTCAAAGATACTGGAAAGGAAAAGATGGCTAATCCCTAGTGTGAAGCTAATGAGATGACTTTAGATTTTGCATACAAAAGAAAAATTATCTGTTCTATTTTATAGGAAGAAAAGAGAATACATACATGAGTTAGTTTGTGGATTTGATGTTAAGAAGATAAGGGAAATTCCCATGGTGGCTTTTGCTTTATTGGTAAACTTGAAAAAAGTTGCTTAGGACCAGGGGTGAGATAAGTAGAATTAAAGTTTAAGGGCAATAAAGTTTCAAAGTAGTGTTTGTGGAAAGTAACATTAATGAGTTAAATATTGACTCGGTGAGAATGACTGAAGGAGAAGATACTTCTTAATTCACAGTTTAATAAAACAGCGTCTTACAACATAACACAAGACAAAATCTCATGAATGCCAGCTGATGGCACTGTTGACATAAAAAGGCAAGAATGAGAGGGAGAATAATGTGGCCTTCAGTCACTAGAAAAGACATATTGCAGGAGGTAGAGCTTAAGTTGGGTCTTCACACATGGATTGGTAAACTTCATAGGAAGAATACACAAGCCAAGGATGAAGAGAATCTTCAGTAGTATTCTGTAATGATTAGGGTGATGATAATCCTTCTTTTTTGTCAACATTTTAGTGAATATGGAGGTGAGACCATACCAGGACCTGCATTTGATCCAGCAAGTCACTCAGCTCCAGCTCCTACACCTTCCTCCTCTTCAGCATTTCGACCTGTACTGCCATCCAGGCAGATTGTAGAAAGGCAACCTCGGATGCTGGACTTCAGGGTTGAGTACAGAGACAGAAATGTAGATGTGGTACTTGAAGACAGCTGTACTGTTGGTAAGGATTTCTCTACTGTAAAGACCTCACAAATGAATAATTCATTAAGTAAACATTTACTTTATATTATTTTGAGTTGACTGCTAACAGGAAGGGGAAAACAAGCAGATTAAAACATTGTGTTCTAATTTTAAATACTATTGATATTTAGATATGTTAATAATTTTTTGTGCCACATATATATATATATATATATATATAAAAATAATAGTTATGATTCTGTTTTAGGATGGATGCAAATCTAAAAGCTTAAAAAATACAACATAATAATTGAGTACATTGTATACAAGCTTTACAACTAAAGCTAATTCTATTCCATATATATTAGGTCAGTTTTGTGCTGTTATAGTAGAAAACCTGAATCTGAGTAGTTTATAAAGAACAGAAATTTATTCTTTCACATTTCTGTATGGGCTTCTTTGGATTTATCCTAACGAAGTGCTTTGGGTTTCTTGAACTTCTTAATTGGTTGTTCATTTTGAACTTGGTTGTTCATTTTGTTTCCCAGATTTGGGAAGTTTTGGTCCATTATTTCCTCAAGTAAACTTTCTGGCCCTTTCTATTCTTTTGTGACTTCTATAATAAGTAAATCAACCCACATGGTAGTAGAGACCATATCCTTTAGAATTCCATAAGTCTTTTCACTGTCTTCTTTTTCCTCCTCTGACTAGATAATTTCGTATGACCTGTTTTCAAGTGCATCGATTATTTTCTTTTACTATATCAGATCTGCTCTTGAACCCTTCTAGTGAGTTTTTCAATTTTGTTATTGTAGTTTTCACCTCTAAAATATCTTTAATTTTTGGTTTTGGTGTTTTTTCTTTTGTTGTTTATAATTTCTGTCTCTGTTGATACTCTTATTTTTGAAATTCCTCCTTCAGCTCAATGAGCACCTTTAGTGTATATTTTATACTACAAATATATACACTTAGTGTATATTTACTTGAGTTAATTTTTAGATAACTTTATATTCTTCCATTTCCTTTGCATTTGTTTCTGGAGATTTATTTTGTTCCTTTGGTTTTGCTGTTTCCCTGTTTCTTTGTGTATCATGGAACAATTGGGACCACATTTAAAAAAATAGCTACCTGTTTCAGACTTTATGAACTAGATTCATGCAGGAAAAATCCTTTATCAGTCACCCCAGTTGGCGATTCTTGGGCTTTTCACACCTATTTTACGAATGTGTCTTTGGATTTATGTAGGTAAATTCTCAATTTGAAGGGGTTTCCTGGTCTTTTAGGAACATGTGATTTCTTGCTCCCTCTGCTGTCTTTCTGTAGAATTCCAGATTCTTTGGTGCTGGGACAAGCTTTTTTGTTCTTAGTAGCCTTAAATGTTCTGAAGCACTGTGTGCTGGGACCTACCAGTGCTCTGAGTTGAGCACTTGAGAAAATACTGCAGGCAGTGTCCGCAAATGATGGACTCTTCGATGCATACTCTATTCTCGCCCAAGGTAAGGCTGTCAACCTGTATTATCCTCTGTTTCATATATTCCAGGGCTTTTGTAGCAGCAGTAGCAGCACCAGAAGCAACAGCAGCAGTAGGCTTCCTAGCTTTAGGTAGATATTTAGAATGTGTGAATTCTTTTAGTGCCTCAGAACAAATGAGACAGCCATCAGTGCCTTGAGCAGCACCTTAGCAATCTTGGATGTTGGATAAATGCCCTAACTTTTTCCGTTTTCTAGAGTGGTGTTAAGAACTCTGATGAATGAGTATATATTGGTTCAATCCATCATCTTTGTTCTCCTAGCTGCATACATTGCTTAGATTCTGTCAGTGTTTAGGTTCAAACATGACAGAAGCCATTCTCTTGGGCAACTACTAAAAGATCTGAACACTGTGTGTGTATTTCAATCTTGTCTTTCCTTCTCCAGGCAGAACTTAGGAGCTACGAGTTTTCTCTGAATCAGGAAGGGATCATGCTGTGGGTTTGTATGATACTGGTTTCTTCCCAACCTAGAGGGTGGGAGTCTCTTAACTGTTTTCTGGATTTCTCACAAAGGGAACTGGTATGTGTTTCCTTGTAGGATTGATGTGTCCATAGCAGGATGGAGGATCTGGAGCTTCCTGTTCTGCCATCTTGTTAACATTGCCCCTTTCCTCAGTGTTCTTTTGCATTATTGGTTTTTTTTTTCTTACTTGTACTTATTGTATAATGTTATTGTTTTTCTCTGACTAGAGCACTTGTTGTATAATGTAATTGTACATTACATTACAATTGTTGTAATGTACTTGTTGTATAATGTAATTGTTTTTCTCTGACTAGAGTACTTCCTCTTTGTTACTAAACAAATTATTATTATTATTATTTTTTTTTTTTTTTTTTTTGGTTTTTCTCCGGTACCGGGAACCGAACTCACGACCTTGCGCTTGCCAGGCAGGCGCTTTTGCCGCTGAGCTAAATCCCCAGCCCCTATAAATTATTGTCTAAACACAGTTGAATCTGTTTCTGGCTGGGTGTGGTGGCACACACCTGTAATGCCAGCACTTGGGAGGCTGAGACAGGATCACCAGAAGTTTGAGACCAGCTGGGGCTGCAGAGTGAGTTCAAGGCCAGTCTGAACTACATAGAAAGACCCTGTCCTCCCCTCAAAAAAATTCTGTCTCCAGGTGTACTATGGTCATGTGACGAAATGATGGGATACATTCTGAGAAATGCATTGTCAGGTAATGCATTGTTGGGTATCATAGAATGAATGTACATTCCCAAACTAAAATGGCTATAATGTCACTAGGCAATATAATTCTAGGGTCAGTTACTGTATATGTAGTCCATTCTTTACTGAAATGTCACTATGTGGTAAATGAATATATTTTATGAAATTGCTTCATTAGTAATGTAAGCTCACTTGACCAGTCAAGGCTGGAATGTCTGTAGCCTGTTTCTTTTCATTCTTTGTGTGACTAGGATCACTGGAAGCATGTGTGAGATACAAATCTGTACCAGTCAGTGTTTACTAGAGAAATAGATACAATACAAGATATACAAATATATATGAATTCATAAGATTGGCTTACAGTGACCATTTATAGAGTTGGATGTTGAAGAGTGCAGAGGATCTGTCTGCGCACTGGAGATCCTAAGGTTTCAGTCAAAGGTCTGGAGTTCACTGCATTGTCCCATGCAAGTCCCTATCAGGAGGGTGATAGGTTTGTGAGGGAAGGTTGAAGCTTCTAACCGGAAGGCTGAGAATCTGCACTGGAAGCTGAAGACTCTGCACTGGAGGCCAGGAAGTGACATTTAAGGTGAAGGCAAAGACTGGAACAGAAATAGATCCGTCCTTCATTTCCTCTTTATACCATTCAGGTGACAAGCTACCCTAGGGTTGGAATTGCTGATCCAATTTAGTTGAGCTTCTCTGACTCAAGTTGACACAATCAACCATCACAAAAGCCCTCTGATGCCTAATAAACCTCCCTATTATTTTTGGCAAAAGTAAATCCTCCATTCATTCAGCCAGATCTCTGAAAGTTCTGTGGGGTAGGAGAAGCTCCTAATTATTAAAAGAAAGGGATAAATAATTATGACCAATTAACTATGAGACAAAGCAGAGTTTATATATTAGATAAGAATGACATATACAGTTTGAGAGGCAATAATAGTGGTGAAAAGCATGAATTTTATAGTCAGACATACTTGTTACTTGAAGGCTGGTTTCATGTTTCATTGTTGTGTGATTTTAATCATTATGAAATGTATTAGTCACTTGGGGCTGATACAACAAATATACCATTGTCTGGGTGGCTTAAACAATAGACATCAGTTTTCAGAATCCTAGAGACTGAAAATGGAAAATCAAAGGACCTGTATATTTGAGGTCTGCTATGGTCCCACTTTGTGGTTTAAAGATGGCTGTTGTCTTGTTGAATCTTGAGATTGCAGAGAGCAGAGAGAGGGGAACCAGACTTGCTGTTTCTGTTCTTATAAGGCCACTAATCTCATCCTGTGGCTCTACCGTCATAACTTAGTTACCTTTGAAAGATTCTACCTACAGATAACATCACATTGTTGATAGGATTTTAATATACACATTTTTTTTTCTTTTTGTCTTTTTCTGAGACAAGATCTCGCTCTGCAGTTCAGGCTGGCCTTGAGCTCACTTTGTAGCCCAGGCGGGCTTCAAACTTGCAAGGATCCTCCTGCCTCAGCCTCCTGAGTGCTGGGATTACAGGCGTGCACCACCACGCCCGGCTCTAATATACACATTTTGATGGGACACAGATATTCAGTACATACCATCATTATTCGTAAAATAGTACTTATCCCTATCTTCTAGTGATATTTCAGGGATTAAATAAGATATTGTAATGCCATGGTGGTGTAAGCCTGTAGTCCGAGCTATTCTAGAGCTAGAGGAGGAAAGGTCATATTAGTTCAGGAGTTCGAGGCCAGCCTGGGCAACATAGTGAGAACTCTGTAGGAAGGAAGAGAGAGAGGGAGGAAGTAGATAAATGAGTATATTTCTGTTATAGTTAAGGGTGGAGATAAATATGTATATTGCTGTTACATAGTTTACAGACCTGTGTTTTTTTTCCCTTTTCTCTATGTAAGTCTTATTTGAAAAAAATATTTTTATAGTGTTAATTTGGAAAATATATAACAAGGAAGTGCAGTCATGAATTCAGTATGTCTTTTAAGTGAGTTTGTATTTTCTAAGTTACTAAACCTCATCTAAAATTTCAGAAATGGTATGAATTATCTTTACAGCATTAGTTATAATTGATCACTCATATTGCACATATGGAGTTTTAGTAATACTGTAAAAACCTCCTTTGCCTCTTGTGAACCAGTTTGCAAAAGTGTGACTTTGTCTTTACTTTCTTAATTTATTGATGAATATTTTTGTTAGGGCAGCATTTGGTCCCATTGCAAAATCCTTCTTCTAAATGTTAAAAGTTAGCTCAACTTCTGTCACTTAAAAAAACTGGCTGAATTGTGGTGACACATGCCTATAGTCCCAGCCATTCAGGAGGCTCATGCAGGAAGAATATAACTT